CAAGCACGTAAATAGTTTCCCAAAATGTCAAACTATTCCTTTGACATCAAGAAGGAGGAAAGCAAATTTTAGCATCTGTTGTTTTCTGCTGCAACACAATGCCTGCTTTTCCCTCCGTGGAGGAAACTGCCCAGACACGCCTGTCACTTCCAAAATCAAGAGAAGAGAAGTTGTGATTGCTTCATTGTGCTGAAAGAGGACATTGGTGGCTCATGTGGTCATAAAATAAAGTTTCCTTTCTGTGTTTTTCAGGCTGGACATGACGGAGAGAACGTGGGGAACTGTCCGTTCTGTCAGAGGCTCTTCATGGTTTTGTGGCTGAAAGGAGTCAAGTTTACAGTGACCACTGTTGATATGAGGAAGTAAGCACCACCCCCTCCCCCACCCCCACCCTGCTCTGGTGAAAACACTTCCTGAGCATCTGGTCATGGGGACTTTCACACAGAGGTCTATTAAGAAGCTAAAGAGGGAGAAATTGAGAGTAACTCAAAACCATTTCTCACTTATCAATAGGTGTGTTGCTCACTCGGGCTGACGGAGGTTAGAAGGAGGAGCCCGTTAAAGCCAAAGTATACAAAGAGCTCTGTGTCACTGTCAAACAAACACCTTCTTTAATTGTGGCTTTATTGTGCGAATTTCTCAGGGTCATTACCGGTGAGCAAATAAGATCAGGAAACTTTGAAAGGATGCTGATAATTGAATGATTCACGAACACACAAACACGCAGCGGGCCTCTTACAGCCACTCCCAGCGCTGTGTGTTTTTGTAACTAAACCAACAGCCAATGTTGAAATCATTAATCCACAGAGCCACATTTGGTTCTGACAGCCTCGATAACCACCGCGCTCTCACTTTTGACGTGTTTGATAACAGCCTGATTGAATGAACTGAGTGAATACATCTATAAGTCAGATGTCTCCCCCCTCACCATCCTCCTTCATCTTCATCTTTCTCTACAGGAAGCCAGCTGAGCTCAAAGACCTGGCCCCCGGAACCAACCCTCCTTTCCTCCTCTATAACGGCACCCTCAAAACAGACTTCATCAAAATCGAGGAGTTTCTTGAGCAAACACTGGCTCCGCCCAGGTACTGTCACGCTTAGTCTTTACACAAATATTAATCAAGTGTGATTTCAGTGGTGGCTTACTCTAATCAAACAAGTTTACTCCCTGGCTGCTCCTTGCTCCTCTCCCCTCCAGGTATCCTCATCTCAGCCCGCTGAACAAAGAGTCCTTTGATGTGGGCGCTGACATTTTTGCAAAGTTCTCTGCTTTCATCAAGAACAGCCCGAATAACGCCTGTAAGCTGTGATTCATTAAACACACAACAGCACATAATGTTCTCAGTTATTCTTATTTATGGATGTGAGATAAAATGCTACTAGGGGCTTTACCTCAGCATTTCCATTCCACTTTCTACTTCTAAGTACATAGAGGTTATTCAAGTACTCTAGTTAAGTAGAATTTTGAGGTACTTGATACTTGACATACTTGAGTATTTCAATTTAAGACTACTTAATACTTTTACTTCACTACATTTCAGGGAAATATTGTACTTTTACTCTATTACATTTATTTGACAGCCACAGTTACTGGTTCCCAATAAAATTAGAGATTTTATTCACAAAATACATGACCAGCCTCTAAAATGTGATTATTTTCTTTCAGTCTAAACTCCCCAACAGTATATTAAAAATGAGCTCAACCTCATCCAACTAACATTTCAATACTTACATGTTAATACATCAGCTATAATAATCAAATAATGTGATATTACGATACGATACGATGCGATACGATGCGATGCAATACGATACGAAATGATGCCATATACTTTTTTGTCCCCCAAGGGAAATTTGTCTTGGTCTCAGGAGCTGCACAAGTTTTGCTGCCTTACAATAATAGTCCAGATGAAATAAAAAGCATACACCATTAAAAAGAAACATAAAAATACATACTACACATAACATTATTGCACATCAGCCACTCATTATAATAGAAACCCTATAATTGGGGCTATTCTGCACAATAAGTACTTATATTTTCCTGATAATACTGCTGTACTTTTACTTAAAAAAAACATTTCAATCCAATAATTTTACTTGTAACAGAGTTAATATACAGAGTGGAGTTTTTGATACTTTTACTTAAGTAAAAAAATCTGAACACTTATTGCACCACTGATAAAAAGTTAAAGTACTTATTATCCAGAAAAAATGGCACCATATTTTATTATCTGTGTCAATTCTGTTGAAGTGAAGCTAATTTATACTTATACAGATTAATGTTTACAATATTTCCTTCTTAAATGTTACTGAGTAGATGTATAAAGTTGCATAAAATTGAAGCACTCACATAAAGTACAAGTACCTTCGAACTGTACTTGAATACAATACTTACGTAAACGTATATTTTACCTGCATGTAGTTGCATTACACTACACACAGTTCAGGACAAAAGCACGACACATCTCTCATAGCTGTGTTTCTGACCCCTCCAGTTCACCAGAAAAACCTGCTGCGGGAGTTCAAGCGTCTGGACAACTACCTGATCTCGCCCCTCCCCGAGGAGGTCGACCACAACTCCAGAGAAACCATCACCGTCTCCAAGAGGAAGTACCTGGACGGAGACCGCCTCACCTTAGCTGACTGCAACCTGCTTCCCAAACTGCACGTTATCAGGGTGAGACTTCAGCTGTGGTTTTATTCTGGGGTAATCTTTGGTATAGTGTTGAGTGTTTTTGTTTTTTGCTTGGATGTTTAGTGTCTGGAGACAGAGGTGCTCTGAGGTACTCGACATTTGACATAATTGAGTATTTCCATGTTATTCTACATAATACTCGTGTTTCACTGCATTGCAGAGGGAATTGTACTTTTTACTACTAGTTATTTAGCTGCTATAGTTACATGCTGTTTTTCATATTTAGATCTTTAGATTTTACATTAAAAAACATGATAAGCTTATAAAATACAATGCATCATTTTTTTGTGATTTAAATTTTTATTGTGTTTTCTTTTTATAGGATATACATTTTACATTTAATGCAGCAATGCATAGATTTCAGTTATGTTGCTACCCATTGAAATAATATTATGAAAACCGAGAAATTAAAAAAAAATAAATAAAAAAAAATGACAAAACACGGGCGGGAAAAAAAGAGCAGATAACAAAAATGTACTACAACTAATAAGAACAAAAATAAATAAATAAATTAATTAATTAATTAAAAAAACAGGTTAGTGCTGAGTTGTGCAGAGTACATAATAAATTAGTTCGCAGCAATATCATGCATGTATACATTTTAAAAGTTTACACCATAGAATATACAATTCATTATTAATGAGCTCATAAATACAATGCATCATTAAAGACTAACCAACCTTTTTGGCTCGTGACTCCTTGGTTTGGGTCCCCCTGTTACATTGCAGATGTCTATGAGTTGTTAATAGCTCCACCACAGAGAGATTTCCCCTCTGAGCTTCTCAAATGGTTTCATTTAAATAACAGTTTAAGGCCCAAAGAGACAAAAATTCTGCAATATTTCACAAAAAGTTCAAAAGATAAAAATAAATGTTTGTATCAGACCTTTGTTTTGTCTTCCCTCTCCCATTCATCCTCTCATGACCACTCAGGTTTATCTTGTGACTCTGTAGAGGGGACCGTCTCTTGGTTGGAAACCACTACACTAAACTAACAAACTTTAGATATTATAAAGTAGTTAAAAGTAGCCTGACCTCGACCAGCTACAACAGTAAAATGCTGCTTACACACTGATGCATCACCATTAACAATGTACCAATGTAATTTATAGTAATTTATCAGTCATGGGGCCCAGTTTTCTGCATAGTTAATTATTTTATATTTAATACTTAAAGCACATTTTGCTGATGATACTTGCATACGTTTACTTCCAGGGGTATTTTTACAGTTTACTTGAGTATTTCAGTGCCGAACTACTTCATATGTTTACTCAACTATGTTTGAGAGAAATCTTGTATTTGTTTGAATCCACTACATTTGTCTGACAGTCATAGTTACTTAACAGTTTAGGATTTTAAAAACCTATAATGACCATTAAAAGTAATGCATTCTGGTAAAGTACATAAAACAGTATAACACAGAGTATTTCTACATCATATTTACTTCAGTAAATGATCTGAATACTTCTTCCATCTCTGATTTTCATGTACCTGATGTGCTAATTTTGATCTTCCTTTCCATTTATTTCAGGTTGCTGCCAAAAAGTACTGTGACTTTGACATCCCTGCTGAGTTCACAGGCGTGTGGCGATACCTTCAAAACGCCTACGAGAGAGAAGAGTTCAAACAGACGTGTCCGGCCGACATTGAAATCGAGAAGGCTTACTTCACCGTGGCCAACCAGAGGAAATAAAACCTCTGATCCTCTGTAACGAATGTCCTGTTTTCACTCATCATGCATGTGGAGCTGGTGATCTGTAGAGGGTGCTACAACCTACAAGAATAAACCAAGGCGATGAATCAGACACTATTCACCTTAAAAAACCTTCACCTGTTGTAGCTGTGAGATAGTAGGACACACTGAAGCAAATGTTTTATTGGTTGTTTGTATTGACTGTTTATAGTTCCATACTCACTCAGACTGATGGTATATTTATGCCACGATGAAAAGGCCAAATGTGCAATTGACTGTAGATGTTTTTGTTTATAGTGTAAATAAATATTTTTCCATGCTTTTTACGATCAAAACACCCTCATTAATAAACATATGATTGTGTAAGTGTGAGCAGCAGCTGCAGAAACCTTCACAAACAGTTCATGTTATTGACTCACTGTCACACTAATAATAAAACATATCAAGTTAATTTGTCATAATCCTGATTCTTGTGTGGTGTGTGTGTGTGTGTGTGTGTGTGTGTGTGTGTTGACTACTACTGCTCCTTTATTTAGGTCTCAAACTGTAAATATTATAAACATCTATCAGTATCACAAGTATCACAACCAAGACCAGGTCACATAAAAGGCATTTCTGATAGTCAAGTTTATTTTCAGCCACAAAAAAAGACAGTTTTACAGCTTCAAAAATATATCTTCTGTCAATCCAGTAAAGACCATGAATATTCTGTTTGATGGGAAACAAAAATGACGATGGAGAGTGGAGACGTTTCCAACCAGGCCAAATCACACCAGACGTCCTGCAGCTGCTGGGCTCTAGTTGGTGACACAGTATTTCCAGAAACATGCTGACAGGGTATCAGAGAGCAGATATTAAAACACTTTAAGACATTTGACACGCTACCTGAAATTCTTACAGTTATAACACTTAATATTTATTCTAACCAAATACCATGTATTGTCAAAATGTTTCTCCATATAACAATTTTACTACTGGTGCTTTTGTATATTACATATATTCTAATATTAAAGGGTTCTTCTTGTAAAGTCTTGTCTAATCCGGATCGAGGATCAAAGGAAAGAGTGTTATATGTAGTACATCCAGCTGGCCACCAACGTTGTTACACGTTAGTATTTGGTTAAATTTAAGTTGTGACATCAGGTGACCAAAATTCAACGTAAGGACATCATCTAATGTCAACATCAATTTTTCGTAGAATACTGGCAACAGATGATGTTACTATTCTGTTGGTTCTAAGTTGTGTCGTTAAATAACCAACAACTTCCAAATGTTTAATGAGAATGTCATCATGACCTAGAATAATGTGACGTATGGAGAACAAAACCCAACGTCTGCTAGACATTATCATGTTAACGTCCACACAACATGAAGTTCTATCGTTGTTAGACATTTAAAATATCGACAATTCAATTGTCATTCAACCAAAATTTAACGTGTGTCTGATGTATACAATATAATAATAGAATATAATAACAGACAGGAGGTCTGCGTCACCACAACGTGTAGTTACATTTCTGGGGATGTACATGTCAGGCTACGGCGTAGGCTCTATGTCGATGCAGACTCTATGCCGTAGGTACAGCACTGATTCGACGCAGAAGTAAAAAATCCCGCTTAAGGGTCCAACATCTTTCTGACGTCATCACTAACTGGGCAGGTTGTAAAGTCCTTTTAAAAAATGTTGATTTTTGGGCTTTATAAATAAAATAAATTTCACCAGACAACATGTTGTCATATTTTTTAATTCAGTATTTTTTCCACTAAATAAACTTTACTACATTTGATATCACATTTATTACATCTGTGATGCGATTAAGGAAAACAAATGCAGACTTTTCTGAGCCTTTAAAATAAGGTGCTGTTTACATTCACATCAGTGAGGCTAGTAACAGTGCTTCTATATCTACTTTAGTACAATATAATGGTTTCAGTGTACTTCTACTTTAGTTGATACGCTGGTGCTGCATTAGCACAAGCCTTAGTTAAACATTCTTCTGATGAGATCAACGCATTAAATAACGTCAGCTCAAAGACCGTGTCAGGTTTTTTATATGATGTCAGCTCAGGATTAAACGCTCGGAGCTGTCGTCACAGACCGTGTATAAAGAGCAGGTGTGGCGTGTCCCTGATAGACTCACCTCTTTTGTTTGTTTTTGGCAAGTTCTGCTCTGATCTGAGAAAACCCTGAGAGCGAAGCTTGTCAGCCGCTGCCAGCTTCAAGACAGCTTCTCTAAGGTCCTCAACCTAAAAACAAGAAGGAAACACGATAAAGATGGTGTGTTGTAGCTACACACTCATCTATGGTACACTACAGCCACATCTCTAAATGGATCATTGGTTTCTAGTGGATTTTAGGGCATTACTTTCAAATCCACAGGCGTAGATTTCAGGGGGAGGCAGGGGACACATTCCCCTCAATAAATAGATCATGTGCATTTGTCCCACACAATAAAAACTGACCTTTATTTGATGACATTAAAGACATGTCCACCTTTGACTGATGCAGGAAAGGCACAAATTGGTGCATAAAATTCATAGACTGTATAATCAAATGTAGCCAACATGCTGTCATCCATTGATCTTTTGGAGCCTTGAGTTTGGTATTTTCGCTGTCACCATCTTGGCTTTTTGGAGCCATGAGTTACTATATTTGGACAAGAGGATGGAGCTGTTGAGGAGCGAGGGGTGTTTCTGACTGAGACTGAGGACACTATTGGCAGGCAGCCTGTCTCTAAAAGCAGGCACGCCCCTAATAACGCGTAGCTTTACACCTTAATAAAATTTTAACAGATGACTTGTATAAAAATTCTCCCACCATACAATTGTCACGAACAGGAAAATTAGCTATACAAAAGGAAACCGCTTTTTGTACCAGGCTGTAAACATGTTTATTTCCGCTGTAAAGTCTGGCATTTTAACATGGAGGTCTATGGGGACCGCCTCACTTTTGGAGTCATTCGAGGAACTGCTTCTGGCAATGCAGGAAATTAAATCCTTAAATTTTCCTAGGGGAGGCCTACTAACCTCCTCTATTTCATATGTACCTCCCTCAATGCAGAAACAAAATCTACACCCCTGTTTAAAGCCCTCTGTGGTCTGATTCCTGCATTCATTTGTGAGCCTCTGTGCCTGAATGTACCTGATCTCAATCTCAGATCCTGCAATAAAACTATGTAACCCCCCCACCTCAAAAATATTAAGTTAACTGTCAGTGAGGAGTATAGAAACCAGAAAATATTCACCTTTAAAAAGCTGGAATCAGAGAATTTTGTCTTTTTCTAAATTATTCAAACTGATGAACTGATTTTCAAATTAATTGATGATTCATTTCATAGTTGACAAGTACTTGATAAATCAATTAGTGGCTGCGGTTCTACTTACCGTGTTTGCTAACTTATCTTGTTGTGCTGAATCTTTAGCGCCTTAAAAAACACAGACGGAGAAAAATCAATATATTGACCATTTGTGATTGATTAATCTGCATGATATTTGTATTATTTTTACCTCTACTCCAGGACTCTCTCCCTCCATTGTGCTGCATCAGTAGAGGATACAGATCATTCACCTCTCTCTGCTCCCCTTCAGCAGCGTTGGGTCCATCCTCTACCTCTGACACTAATTTTTGAATGAAATCTGTTGAGATAAAACAATCATCATCCTCTCATCATCAACCTCTCATTGTGAAGAACCCTGCAGTGTACGCAGAATAACTTATTTTAACTATATCTTGAAAAACAAAACCTAGAAAAGGATAAATATTTTATCAAAGTTAAGATAGAACTTAACTTACTTAAGGACATTAATGAATAATATGAACAGAGTTTGGTTGAGTCATCATTGAGGTGTGAGCACTAACAACTGAGCTCATGTCTCACACAAATGCAGTAAAACAGATGGGTGGAGTAAATTGTGTTGATCAAGTCAAAAGGTCAAATTTAAAACGCCAAACTCACCTTTTCCAGTAAAATTAAAGAAGTCAACATGAACAGAGTCTTACCTGCCTGTGGCTCCAGGTTGGTGTCAGAGTACAGAGGTAGAGCATGTGTCCGTCTTGCAGAACAAATCACAGCTACGAGGTAAAACAGAGCTACAGACAGCATGGTGCCTCTATCTTTAGATGGACAGATCTGGACTATAACTCTGCCCAGCAAAGAACTTCACTTATATATCCTCCATGGCCATCCATCACAACCTGATCAATACATTATCATCACACCCAGTCTCCTCCTTAATGGTTTTGACACGATGGATCAGGCGTCATAGACACAATTTAGGGGACTCTGTCAATTGAGCTGGAGCCTATCTGTGCTTGTACAGAGAGGCCTAACAAATGTTTACTCTGTGGTAGTAATCAGTGTCTGTCCAGCAGAGCGGTGATGGTTTATGTCTGACACCATTTCTGTGTGATGGCCTGTTCAAACGTATCATTGCTCATGTCTCAGGTACACAGCTGGTGGAGCTATGTCACCACAGGTTTCTACGTCATTTTGTGTTGAATGACTAACATTTCTGAAGCGTTTAATCATGACTGTCTGATGATACAAACAGGTCAGCGGTTTAAACAAATAGTTGAATGCTTTGTTCTTGTGCATAATAATCCAGAATGGACAATGAACCTTCTCTAAACAATTTTTGCACAATTTTGTTTTCAACATGTTGATCATAGCACAGATGCTGATTTGTATTTTATTTATTTTACACTGCCACTCTCTCATATATAAGTTACATTTTACACATAAGCCAAAATAAATCCACAATTCTCACATAAAGCAAAATTCAAGTGAAAACAAAGATTCAGAAGTTCATTTGTCAACTACTCTTGAGTGCTCTCCTACCTTTTCTGCTTGATTTGTCTCTGATATTGGATATGTCTGTACTTCCTTAATACTCTGAATATTGTATATTATTAAACGCTTTTACGTTTTGTGTTTTGTGTTGTCATCTTCCTCCTAATACAGGGGTTGGCAACCTTTACTATCAAAAGAGCCATTTTGGCAAAAAAAAAAAAAAAAAAATGAATCTGCCTGGAGCCGAAAAACATATGTAGGCCTCATTATAAGGTAACACAGCCTTTTAAATTGAATTCAGCCAATCAACATTACTAATAGATCTATACGAGCATTCATCAATATGTTTTAGCACAAGGTGGCCATTCTGCAGTGGGATATTTTTAAATTATTTGGTACTTTTACTTTGCAGTGTTGCCAATGAAAGAAAAAAAATGTTTTCACGCACTATTATATTCTCTATTTTCCGCTGATACTTTTCCCTTTTTGGATTTGGAATACATAGTTAGCCCAGCTAGGGAGACTCAAGACTACTGTAGCCAACACCAGTGGTGTTTTAAGAGAAAAAGGCGCCAGGCCACAGACGAATAACGCACACAAATCGGCATATAGGCTACACATTTTTACAGTTGAAGAATGTAAGAATCACTTTAGGCCTACAACAATAAATGAAAATTAAAATGTTGACAAAAACATAACGGTTATTCATTTCCATACAATTTTCTGTCAAGGCCACTAGGGAGCCACTGGAGAGGGACTAAAGAGACGTGGTTGTGGAACTGCAGGTTGCCTATGCTTACTGTATAGTATGGATTAAAAAGCCAAACCTGGTATGTATGGGTTAGGGGGAAGATGTTGGAGGGATGGGTAAAGGGATAAATGGAAAAAAATGTTAAAATGTGAAAATTACATTGCTCCTGTACACATACTCCATTTTGCATTTGTCTTAAATTTAAAAAAAAAAAAAAAAAAAATCTGAAAGAACAGTTTGAAAATTAGGAGTGTCACTTTAAGAGGCTGAGTTGCTTTGAGCTAAATGCTAACTCATTTTAATTTAGCACAGGGGTCTTCAAAGTTTTCCAGACCAAAGACCCCTTGGCTAAAACAGAGATGGAGCAGAGACCCCCTACTTTATATACTGTTTAAAAGTAGCACTTGAAATAATTCTTTGAATAATTTCTTGGGGTCTTCTCTTGCTTGTGCTTACCTGTAGCTGCTAATACAGCAGCAATTGTAGCATGGCTAGGTGTGGTAGCCTCACCCTCTCCTGTAGTTTCGCTTGTAGTTTCTGAGGTGGACCGTATGTCAGAGTCTCTTGTTCATAAAGCTATAAAACAATCCATAGTGGCTCACAAGAATATTTGTACATTTGGAATAATACTACTAACTGGCCAAAATATATTAATAATACATGACTGTTAGCTTAATAGTTCACCTTGCTGTTATGGAAGGCTGACCCACAGTGATTTAGCAGCTAACTTGATGGCACAAGGATTCATGGGTAGCAGTTAGTCATTAATGCTGTGTGTGCTGTATTTTTTTTTTTTCAGTGAACAGGCCGATTTATCTTTGCTAATATATTTGATTCATTTCACTTTTGAAAAAAAAAAGAAGTAAGACTTAAATTAACAAACAATAACTTTATGGGTCCCCTGCAGTAACTCTGAGGAACCCCCAGCAAGCTAAAGTAAGTGCTAATTAGCACTAATGTTACACAGGAACTACCATTAAGTCCATTAAGGAATGTCATTTTATCAATCACAGTTCCCTCGTTTCAAAGTCAATGGGTTTTTGGTTAGATGCCTGAGATAAGGTCTGTGATTAACACAAGCTTAAAAGACTTCCACGTTTTGTCCTACAACATAAAATACATCAGTAAATACCCCACTCCTGAACTCTGAAACTTCTATATGTCTTAGAAAAGGTGGTTGCTAATAAGTGGCAAAATGAGACTACAGAATGTCATCTTGCCACACCGCACCGAACACCAATGTCATGCAGTGTAGTTTGTTTATAGCCTCACAATAGCTTTTTACTTGTGGTGACTGCATTTAGGCTTCAATAATCACCAAAGTGGTGTCCATATTATCTTGCTGAACAAAAAATTTAAATATCATACACATTTGTTTGCCACTTATTTTCGGCAATAGGCCTAAGCCAAAATCCAATGGAAAAAATCCCATAGGCTTTTTGACGAAGGAACCAGTGTGATGCTAAATTCTGCGTCAGCCTATGGAAAAACATCATCCGGCACTCTATTTAGTCAATTATTCGTCACAAAAATATTGTACAAATAAAAGTTTTGACCTGATGATTGAGCTGAATGAAAAGTTAAGGTTTACCAAGATTATTGTAAGATATCCATAAACATTTGCAATGAATTTCTTGGCCATCCATCTAGATATTTCATTTTATTTTCTAGAGCCATGCCACTTTCATGGCTAAAAGTGTTTTAAAAAAGAAAATGTAAACCTACACATGTCACAAGTGCAAATGTGCAGGGCAGTGCAAATGCAGCTGAGAACAAGTTTCAGACAAGGCCAGAGATTTACAGAGGTCAAACTGTCCTAAGGAAAGATACTTAATTAATATCTTAATACAGATATGTCCAGATTTCCTCTTTACTCCATAATGAGCCAATTTGAGCTTGAAACATTGCATTTTTTCTAATATAATTAAGAAGAGATTTAAAGAGAACATGCAGATAGCTGTGTTGAGAGTCCTTTGGGAGTGTGAGATTAATTAATGCATCATTTTTTCATAAAGGCTTAAAACTCAACAGTAATTGTGTCTAAAAATTTAAAAGATCAAAACAAGATAAGAGTTTCTGGCTGCTGGAGGAGGCTTTGGGCCGCACGGCTTTTTGTCAAACTGAAAGGTCACTAATGCTCTTCAGATGAGTGTAGGTGTATCAGGTGATTTATAGGGCTGTCTTCACAATGTTGAAAACAACAACATTTGATACATTTGGCTGCAGAGCAGTCAATGAGACGAAGTAAAGCACAGCTCAGTTTTAAGGTCAAGGAAAACTGTCACTGTCACATAAACAAATTACTCATCTGGAAGAGGAAACAATAACTTACTATCACTCTTAAAATTACATACAGGATTTTTGTTGATGTGTTAATTGTGGTCATGAGAAATGTAATTTTAATGTCATTGGTCATGCATTCAAAAATCCCACTTAAGTAAAAGTAATATTAGCACAATGTACAATGAACAAAGTATGAAAAGTCTCCTGCAGGACAGCGGCCCCTGTCAGTGACTAACATGTTATTACATTATTAAATTATTGATAATGATGCAACAATGTTAACAGGCTACAGCAGTTCAGTAGTGTAGTTCATTGGTTTCAAAATCCATAATAAAATATAAAATCAAGAGGAGACTGCAGTAACTAGGAAAGTATCCTCTTGTGTCATAAACATGTAAACCTTCAATAGTTTCATGGCTCCGTTTCTCAATGATCCGCCATGAAATGTTCAGTCAAATTTTGTTAAACCTAGGGGGGACATGAGGGCTACATTTATCAATTTAATTATTAATATTCAGTTTGACATGTGGGTCATTTCCCTAAACATAGGTTCTTAAAATAGCTGCAAGTTTAAGCAGGAAGAGGTCAACTGATGTACTACCACTATATTTTTATTTTTTTCTTAAATTAAAGAACCTGTTATATCTAAGAAATATAATGTAATATAAAATCATTTTTAAAATGTGCTAAATTCAGTAGATATTCTTTCCAAATGCATGAGCACACAGTATTTTCCCAAAATGAAATTAAAGTAGTAAATTATTTAAATATACTATCATAAGAAATTAAATGATTTTTTTGCCATTTTTTCTCAAATGATTAATCAATAATGAAAATAGAGGAATATTAGTTTTATGTGGATTAATTTTCCAATTATTCAACTAGTTGTTTCAGCTGTAGTTAGAATTTATTTATAGTGTATTTCAGTTCAGTTCATGCCAGTTTTAATTAAATTATTATAAAATAAAATAAATAAATAACATAAAAGTTTATTATGACACAGGTCAACACTTAATTTCTGATTTGATTTAAGGAAAACAGTGGTCCCATTTTTAAAACCACATAATTTAAATAATCAGAAAGAATATCTCAAAATCAGAGCCTGCTTATGAACAAATTACATAATCTTTGTCCAGGCAACAATTTTAGAAAAAATCTAAACTGATGGCAAACATTATGGAACCCAAAAGTGTTTAATAATAATAAAAAATAAAATAAAAAGACATTAAATAAACACATGAATATATAAAGCAAACCTTAATGAATAAATTAAATGTCATGTAAGGAATAAAAGTGTTACAAGAAGAATGTCATCATAAATATTTTTTAAATAAATATCCTTTGATTGT